ATATATAAAAAAAAAAAAAAAAAAAATTCCCGGGTCGAGTCCGATTTAACGAGAATATCCACAGAGTGCGATTGGATTGATAAAAGGAAGAAAAAAGAAAAAATATTTTCTAATCTACGGAGTCCGTATTAGAAAGTGATCGAGCCGATGTGTCTAAGCGACCGTGAAATTAGACTTTTGAATGCGAAGAAATGCGACGGTGCATTAGAGCGCTTGAAGTCTCAACGGGCTACCGAGACCCATGACCGCAGAGACTAGAGTCCCGTCCGTGAAGCTTAATGACACGAATTCAACGAGAGTTAGCGTGAATGCGGTATGGCAATTATAATGGGGCACAAGATCCCAGATAGACGTATTCGTGAGAACGTCTTCTCGTCTACGGTTTCCGTACTTCCTTCCTTGAGAAAGACGCGACACCCCATTCGAGTTGGACTTGACGCGAACCTCTGGTTGATGCGCCGGGACGAAGTAACGGCCGTTGTTATCTCCATAGCTACGCGCCAGGTATAGGAGACCTCGTACGAGCGAAGTATAAAACGACCAGGAACGAAAAGTAATCTTGACACGCGCTTAAATTGGCGAATTATTCAATGAACGGCGGATTAAAATAGATCGGTCGACGGGTAGGCCTTGCAAAGTCCGTCGTATGGTTACCCGTGCATAAAGTGGTTTAAAAATAGTCCTCGAAAACAGCAACGGCCAGCTGTCACGGCTAAGGGAAATATATCTATAAACATTCATCCTTCTAATAAAATCATCTTGTTTATACGGACTCCGACGTTCTCGAGCTTCGTATACGTATATGTATGGCTGATACGAAGTCAGTGATAAAAAAACTTATACCGGTAAATAAAGGAACCACATCCTGAGATCTTGACGACTTTCTACCAGTACGTGTAACTGGGCCGTAACCGCCAAACTTTTTTTCGCGTTGAGCCGCAACTTGTTGCTTCTGGGTATTGGCGCGAAATTTGAAAAAAAAAAAAAAAAGAAAAAAAATCTAAATAGTCCAATTCACAGAAATTTGACAATATACCTTTGTCCGGGGTATTGGGGGTAACTTTGGGATATATAGCAATTTGATAATGGGGCTGAGATAAATGCCGAGAAAAATGGCGGCATTAACGAGCCACGGACACAGTTGGTGTAGCAGGCCATTGACTTCTGGAAACTTTCGCCGCTTTCATATGGAGCAGCCGTGTTATGCCGTGCTAGCCTATATAGACGTGAAGGCTGCCCGCAACGAGCGAAATTGTCTCGGAGGAAAATTCTTACAATAAAGGCAGGACGTGTCAAGAGTGGCTCGACGCCATTTTTCTCAGGCAGCACGTCATCAGGAATGGCTGCCGACAACGGAACGTTTTAGCATACAATCCTGAGAGAAAACACATGCACGTTGCAATATATGTATATATATATAGACCTCAAATTTTTTCATATTATTTAAGACATCTTCTTTTTTATATTCCATATATTGTATATATTAATTTGCAACAAGAAAATTTTTATTTCTCGAACTTAATTTCGCTGTCAAAAAAAAGCCACTGTTACTCGATATACACAGACAGACTGACAGACATCCAGAAAGACATATACTAGACTTTCAGTAACGGGAGCAGCTGACATGGACTACCTCTACGGTACTTGTTCTGCATTTCAATATGCAACACGCCCATTACTTATACGTAGTTGCAATATACCTATAGATAGCTAGATATGTGGTATTTACCTATACGAACCTGACCGTCCGTATTTACGTGACGCGCGTGTACGACTGTCCTCACGTATCTCGTACCGTTTGCACGAATACCTATCGGAAAATATGGGTCGTTCGCAATGCTATAAAATCGTTCGTTGCGCGCTCCGTTATTGCAGAGCAGCAAAGAGTTCGAAAGGCTCCGTAGAATAACGAATGATAAACATAGAAATTTGACAGTTCCTAAACGCGCAGATCTCAAGTGGTAGATTTAAACGGTTGTCATGCGAACATGCGATGATAATCGTACGTAAATAAAGGCAATAACGAAAAGTGTTAATACATATGATATACGCTATATCTATAATACCCCGTAAATTCAAATTCACTAGACGGCACTGCGTGTCGGTATTAAAGGTGGGAAGAATTAAAAAAAAAAAAAAAAAGAGACTAACCTACCCAGACGCTTGAACCTCTTTCCCATATCTATATATACGGATATTCGATAAAAAAAATTGTATCAAATTTTTGTCGCGAAATTTTGCAAAACGAAATTTTTTTATATGGTCCGCGTACGGTAATTTTGAAACACCCTGTATGTTCCGTGTCCTCTCTTCGCGCAATAGCGAGCTCCTTATGCACGCTTGTAATTATAAATGTGCGTCTATAAGCAGTGGAATTAAATCGCAAAGGTGAGGAATGTAGTTCGCTCTTATGCGATAGAGCCTTGAACCTGCCTACATAAAAGAGGAGGACGAAGACAAATAAACATACGAGTCGCTATCGGAATAGAGATATAAGAGTCATGCGGTGGCCTTGTTTATAAAAATGGTGGTTTATCGGGGGGGAAAAAAAATATACTGGGACCCTTGGGTCCTGTTGTATTCTTAGGAAAAAAAAAGAAGTATAGAAATCCCTTGTCCCCCTGTATCCCTATCTACATACCTCTTATTGCGTATACAGAGATATCGAAATACACAACAGTCGGCTGCCGCATCTTTTCTCTATACTTTATCTGGGATAAGCAGGTCCCTCAGGGTAAAGCGCACGACGACACGGAGTGCCGCTAATTAAACAACCGGTACTTGTTTACGAGTCTTTAATTAATACCTATATGTATAATCGAGGGGTCAAATCGTTAAGGTCTGAAACATTAAGGCGCTTTCCAACTAACGATTTCGTATGGAACGAAGAGGATGGTATTGGTATAAAATATAATATATAGGTTGTGACGTGTTATCTCACGATACGAAAATCCGAGAACTAACCTACGTCACCTTTGGCCGTCCACCCTTTCGGTCCATGCATGCCAGGCGGTCGCCAGCCAATTCTTTTTTCATCGGGAACTGACGAGTCTGTACGGCCCTGGGAGTTGAGGTGGAAGAGTCTGAACCTCGCAGAAACGAGAGGTCTGACTGAGCCTATCAGAAAAGACGGTAGCTTAAGGGAGCCTTTTGAATTTTGAGGTCGTCCGATATCAGCAAATGCAACTGGACGCGCGGACGGGAGCGAACGGTTACGGAAATGCGCGACCGGTCAGGCCGCCAGGTTGAAGTATAGAGGGTCGGACTAAGCGCCAGGCAAATAGTGCCGGAAACAGAGAGCAACTGGTCGAGAACGTAGCAGACCGAACAGGAGCTATAAAATCGAAATCCCTTCACCAATTATTATATTGGGAGAGTACTCACCGGAGCTGGTTCGGCTGATCCCCGAAGCCCGAGAACTGCATCCAGGGGACACTCAGTTGCACAACACTGCACCTCAACACTGCACCTCCGAAACACACGCAGAAAATCGATAGGATTTCCTGGATATAGCGAGAGCAACGCGAGAACTACGCAAGCGAGAACTTCCTGTACCGTATAGGAAACGCGGCTAGAAAAACTGTCAACAAACAGCCCGAGAGCGCGAGGCAGATCGAGGCACCCCGATCGGTGTCCCAAGACGAACTGCTTTGACAATAGGCAAATTCGAGAACTAATAATTCTTATTGGTCGGGATCCTTATAGCCGATAACTCTCATCCTTTTCCTTGACTCGTCCCTTTAAACCGAGATCGTTCCTCAGTTAATCGGCACGTAACAACTGGAGATCCTCCACGGCCACTTCCCCAGGTCATCGCACCCTTAACTCGGGTCAGGGGGTTCCTCCCCTGCCCTTAATCATATACAAACTATATGTATAAACTACATATAACTTGGATTAATTTTTTTTAATATGAAAAAAATCTTATGTACCGGGTGATCATTTAATACCAACGAATTCGTAGTACCAACGATCTACTTCCACCGATGTGGATTATCGCGTTTACCGAGAATCCACCAGGCAGTCGCAGAATTCCCATAGAGCCACGAAGGTTATGCCGGACTTCTATGTTACCCACGGACCACAAGGCTTCCGGTAGAAACCGAGATTTCCGCTCGGCGTGAACCGGCGATAAAGACTTGTGCCTTTGTAGGTATATACACCAGTCCGTGGTTTTCCTTGTACTCGAAATCTATGGTTGCGTGCGATTTTAAATGTATTCACTGCGTATGTCTTTGTTTTAATTCTTGATATGCCTATCGCGAGCGGACCATCTTGCTTTGCGCAAGAGGACGGGACGAGTAGTCGGTGAATTTATGACGAAGATGATGTACGTAAAATTTATTTATTAAGATGCGAGATTGTTGTTTAACGGCGGCGGATTGCGTGGAGAGAATGAAAAATTTTGCAAAAGTTCTCGAGGTTACGGATGCATTGGAATAAAGAAAATTTGTGTATCCAACGTCTTTACGTCCGTCCTTGTCTCGCGCAGGCGAACGCCCATAAGGCCCTCTCTCTCGCTCTAACGGCGGGTATAGGGAAAAGGACAATTTGAGGCATTTGTTTCTCGCAAGCCACTTCGCTAACGCGATACTCTCACTCGTTTGACAGCTGTCAGATTTGACATATGCTCTCTCGGTTTTTCCGACGGTGATGACATTTACGTTTTTTCCGTCGCTGCTACGTGCGAATCAGCTGTATCGTTTATCGCCCGATTTTTATGTGCGTCCTTCGTTGGCGTAGGAATTGATAAAAAATTAAAATGTTCGGAAAAACGTATTTTCGACCGAATGGCTTTCACCGAACAGGTGCCTCTTTATCAATGTCTGTCGATACGAACACGATTAGGCTATTAGGTGCGAAATAAATTTACGGGGACTCGGGGAGGAAGTATATAGAGTGACGAGAGAGACGATGAAAAAAGAATTAAAGTGGAATTATGAAATTTAAAATTTTTCGATATATCGGATTGAGTATTAAAAGAGAATTTTTTTTTTCAGAATCTTCGATCGGAGGAGTAGCGGCAAACAAGAGGATATAATATATTGAAGCAAACAGGCTGATGCATTTATTGGAGATGCTCACACTGTTGTGTACTCTGACGAATTAGTAAAACCGTTTACCAGAGTGCCGAGTTACTAAGAGTAAACAAAGTACTGATAAGTGTCATCGTCACGTGATAACGTTTCTCCTTCTCTATCTCCGCCCTCACGTTGGGAGTAAATGATACTGGAAGGTGTGCAGAGTCAACGGCCAGTAGGCGAGTCGTTTACGCAGTTGTCAGTGTGAACGGAGCTTAACTTGGCGTGACCACCAGTTCGGCCATTCAGTTTCCCGCGACTGACGATGTAGAACGTTCGCGGATCTCGCGATGGCAAGATAGCCCAAGAGGACATGGAGGATTAGCCTGAGGAAAGGAGAAGGAAAGAAAAGCGGCTGATAGAGGAAGATATAAGATAGTGAAAAAAAGTTGGGAAAAAGAATTTTGAAAATTGACTGTCTATCAAAAAAAAAATATTTTGAATTTCGCGGCATAGTCGAGCTTCGAGTATATAAGTAATACAGCAGGGCAGTGAATTATGAAAATGATGGGAGACGTGGTAGCAGCCCCGGTCGATGATGGGACTACTTCCGGTCAGCCTGGTTCTACCAGTAAAGAATTTGGACACAAGACCCTCAGGTCCTTGAAGAGGGGATTGGGGAGACTCTGGAGGAGACACAGGGGAAACGCATCCATTACCGAATACGATCCTTGCTACAAGGTTGCCTATCTTGGAAACGTGCTCACTGGTTGGGCCAAAGGTAAGGAGACTGTCAACTCTCTTTTTTTTTTCATCCCATATCAATTGATACCAACTATCAGATGGTCGTGCGAAGTTGGGATCTCTTTGATTAAATTTAAAAAAACAGAGTTCCAGTTTTTCGAAATAGTTCTTTGAGTTATAGCTGATGGCCATTTCAGTGCTAACTGAGTACCCTGATGAAAATTTTAGAGCTCTGCCCCACTTAGTCCAAACCTATGGCAGCGCTAGGTTAAAAAATAGGTGGAACCGCCACAGTGTTACTTTCCGATGAGTTCCGAACAGGTTCCAGGATTGTTCTCTCTGGTGCTCAATGTTGGAACCATAGTTCCGGTCGGAACTATTTTTTAGACAATGCTGGAAGCTGGAACCGCAGCGCTGCACACCTCAGTGCAGACAGGCAGGGGGTGCTGGATTCCAGTATTGTTCTGCCTCGAGTTCCGAACAGGTCCGAGACAGTTCTAGAACCGATAATTCTGACCAAGTCTGTGATGTATTTTTCTCCATGAAAAAATTGGTTCGTGCTAATGGGGAACACAAAAAAAATGTAGATACCAGTCACCAGTTGGTTCTTCCCGAGACGAGTGATTGGATCATGGTATTTTTTGGTTTTGGGCCCAAAAAAATAAAGGCGCAAGCAGAGTATAATGGCGCAGGGACGCTCCTAGTCGATAATTCAGCCTGGGGACAAACCGGTAATTAAAGCCATTAATCAAACGCTTACGTCGTATGGAGCCAATCTAGAGTCGAGGCACACGAGCAGCGAATCCCGTCCCGGGGGGACCGGAAGTGCGCAGGAATATTTAGCGGGACGATTGAAAAATTCCAACGCGTAACGCAGCACGCTCGTACGGCCGTTCAACCGTATTTTGAATTTCGAATGAAAAACGTGCCGAGTTACGTACTGAGAACAACGAGAAGTTCAGGTCGCCCGTAAGCTTCACCTGGACTTCTTCTGGTACCCAGGATGTAAAATTTATTCGGTGCATTGACCGGACATAGGCGTATCCAGGGTCTACCGGACCTCCTACTTTCTCTGCATACCATAGCCATCGAGACTGGGTCGAGAGCATGTAATCCTCGGACACGACATTACCGACTGAACTTCTTTTTCCTGGCGAACCGATACCGTAACCCTGGGACCAAGAGTATCATGACCCTGATGCACCTAGACACTGGAAATTCGAGAAGGGGGTTACTCCTTGGGTCAGCTGTCCATATCGGTGCTTCTTTTAATTCTGTGTAAACAAGTGCAAGATTTTTTTTGAAAAAAAAAAAAATTGAAATTTTTATATTACCTGGATCTTTTTTTTCAAATTAAACTAATCATTAGTTTTCATTTTTTTTTTGAGGGGGGGGGTCTGAAATCTCCTCTTCCGTGTCGACCCTCTATCAGACCTTAATACTCGGAGGCTTAGCTTTCTCGTGGAGATCAAGTAGAAAGTACTTGCCAGTGTGAACCAGCGACAACTGTAACAAACCGTTTTACATTATTTCCCAGATCCAAAGTACTCGGAAACTTCGTGACGTATGTTCCTTTATCACTGATAATTTATAAAGGGATATTAAAAGTATGAAAATACGAATGGGTCACTTCACGATAAGATTCAGTTTACGGAACTTCTATTATTAGATCGAACATATTTTTAATTACGATTTCTTTTTTATTTTGAGATCGTTCAAGTGTTTTCATAGTAATCGAATTGTTTTCTTGATCGTGATTCTTGTTTATGTCGGGACGTTATCGGGACTGCCCCTTCTTCCTTCTCCATCAGGCAATCAGATATTACTAATGTGAACATTTTAATCGAAAATTTTTTCAAACGTATTCGAGCTCACGTAGTTATTGATTGTATCGATAATTATTTTACGCAGAAATAAAACCGGATGGGACAATGTAAAAATTATCACGTCTTTATCACCGATAACGATCGCTTTGTGGAAAATGAACGTATTGATATTGATAAAGAAATTTAATTAATTCATAACCGGACTGTACCGACTAGACTAAAATCCGGGGATTAGACAAACTTATATATGAATTTACGTAATATGTGATAAAAGTAGAATCGTCTTTGCGAGAGGTAACCGTAAGTCGGATGTTCGCAAAATAAGCCTCTTATCGGCTTACGCCGATTCTAATCAATCCATACGTTATTTCTAGCGATCAATAACGTAGCCAGAAGAGGATTCAATTAGTTGAAGCCGTTTATTACGTAATAGTTACTTTCGACGAATGCAAAAATACTCATATTAAATAATATGAGCTTGTAGTTTTGCAAAAAAAATTTCTTTGATATTTGTATTTCGCGAGAACGTGAATCGTGAAGAAAGAGCAATGCCAAAATTAGCAAGAGGATCGGAGCTCGTAAATAAAATTGACTGAAAAAGGAAAAAGCAAAGAAAAATTTGTAATACGTACAAACATATACAATAATGTTAGCTAACCTGAAAACATCTTCGTGACTCGCCAACTTGTGCAAATATACCGGGTGACCGGTTGACAAAGCACAATTTTTTTGTATAAATTAAAAAAAAATAATTTCCGCATGCGTTCCGCCGACAAAGATAATTAACGGGTCGCTCGAAGATCAGATATACCGTAGAAATACACTGGGTAATTATCAGTGGGATTTTCTTGGTAAAAAAGAAAAAAGAGAGGAAAAATAAAAGAGAAGGATTAAAATAGAATTTCTCAGTAGATTCTCACAAGCAAACACGTGGCTGGATCTTTGCCAATAAAAATACGAATACTGGTCTTTGATGATATATTGAAAAATTTCGCAATTTTTTTTTTTTTCTAATCTGCATTTACCATACTCATGCGCAGGTCTAATCCACGTGAATAAATCCGATATTAATTTAATTCTATTGGCACCTGGGATGTGACACCCTTTAGATAGGCAGGTGCCAATTATTTGAATGACCTAAAATAGACACTTACGTGAAAACTCCGTCGAGGTGATATGACAAATTTTTCCGATGGATACAGAATTCAAGAAGCTTGTCATACTTTGGTAATACGCGGACGGTATGATTCTAGGGGACTTTGTGAAAAGGAGCAAAGTTCTTTATCACTAGAAAAAATTTCAATGGAAACGTACGAGAAGTAAGATTCGTGGAAAAAAAATTATCTTTAACTCTAACTTAAAGTATCGTTACGACGTGACAGACGATATATTTTTCTATTATCCAGTTGCCGACATCACAGTCTGTTATTTTCTTTATTACCGACTGTCGATACTTCCAGTAACTTTCCAGATGGGAAAAAAAAAAACAAGTTTTCTTCCGCGTCCATAACCTGACTTCTTCCTGGTTTCGAATTGCCTTCGGTAAGGGCGGCGAAGTTCTTGCTTTTTCACAATAAATTCATCTCGTCATATGGACACCATTTATCGTGAGATTGCCGTCACGAGTGCTCCAGTTAATTTTTATCTCCAATAAAAATAATCTTTGTGGCTTCTGACAAACGCAGATGTAACTCTACATTATTTATTCACCTGTAATTATTCACCTGTAAATCAGTGACGGCTGATAGATATGAATTTTGATTTAAAAAATCGCAAAATCTTAAGATTCGTATCGTCCGTCAATGTCGCGAGTGACTTTAAAAAATTACAAGTGCCCGGATTAATATGATTTCCGGTACAGGAATCCCGTACGTCCATATATAGTGTAGCTTGGAAAAATAAATTTGACGATATCAACAAAAACACTTGATATCAGCTAATCTCTCAATACATCAGGAACCGCAGTACGAATAACAGGTGCAATATCGAGCATTTTTAAATATATAAATATGTATAGTATTTCCCTGCCAATCCATCAGCCAAACGACGCAGTGGTGAAATAACAAATTGCTGATAGTAATTCAAGCGTAGGCGGCATTTTTAGATACGCAGACCTTCAGCCATTGTTTTTACGAGTCGCCAGAAGATTTCTATAGTTTCAACAAAGTTGCTAGATCCATAACTAAGCCTAGAAGGTACAGTCCGAGAAAGAATTCCTCAAGGATAAAATCTATCGCCAAACGTGTCATAGGTTACAAAGTAAACGTTTGTTTTCGAGTAAAACATTTTTCCACGGCGCTTATACGTATATACATTCTCGCTCGAGAATGTTCAGGAAACTTTTTTGTACGCGAGAATCGCGTTCTCTTGTCGCGCACTTGCGTGTTAGAATTCAAAGCAGTCCTCCCGCTGACGTCAGAGCATCGACATTCGTTTATCAAATCTGAACTCTTGCTGTACCTCATAAACTTTTGTCCCATTGCTATTCCGTTTTGAAATTGCGTCTCGCACGTTGCAATATGGTCGTCGAGGAGCGCCGGCAGCCTTAAGGCGTCGCCTTCGCCTTAAGGGTGGTCGACGTCGACCGACCAACACTGTCTGTAGCTACTTCTGTACCTGCGCCTTCTTCGTGTCTCTAACTAACTGTACTATCACTTCCTGTATCTCTAAATTGGTAAGGCGATCCCTGCCTGACGGAATGGGACTTGCGGAATCGAATTCCAGAACGGAGCGTTATGCGGCACCGAAGAGTCGTGACGCCGATAGTTTTGGACGCTTAATATATAAATGACGTAGTGAGGTTATATAAAGTCAAACGAGAGAAGGAGAAGCTTGATGATGCTCCTTTGGGTAAAACACTTTGGTCGGCGCTATGAACGAAGTTATTGCGCATTTTAATTAATGATTAACGTTTATGAAAGCGTTAAAAATTAATTAATTAATTTAATTGACAAGACGGAATATTGATGTTGGATGATTGTTGTCGTTCCAGGAGATGGATGCGTGGAGAAGCCTGTGTCCACTTTATGGAGGAATTATGTGAGCAGCAGTCGACCTGACGTCACTATGAGACTCACTATCACAAATGGCGGACTCACTGCCACCACCAAGGATCATGGCCTGACTGAATATTGGGCACACAGAGTGACGTATTGCACGGCTCCTGCTTCACATCCTAGACTATTCGTCTGGGTTTACAGACACGAGGGACGTAGGTTGAGACCGGAACTGAGGTGCCACGCTGCGCTTTGCTTCAAGGAGTCGACTGCCAGGAGACTGGCGTCCATCTTGAACACCAGGTTACAGCAGGCGTTGTTGGAATTCAGACGTGACAAAGTCTCTAGACAGAATGCCAGGTATTAATATATTTGTTTGGTAGATGATTTTTCATATAATTTTTCATGATCTTTTTTATTACCTTTTCTTTTCTCTTCTTTGATTGGCTTCCGTTAGACTCTCGCTGGCCAATGCCGTGTATGAGAATCCGTCGCTGCCAAGGAGAAAGATCCTGTTGAGTACCGGAGGGCAGAATTACAGACCACCCTTGGAAAGGTCGAAGAGTGCACCAAAACTGTCGGCCATCGAGGAGGACTCTGTGGCTGAAGAGATAGAGCAGCAACGTCTTCTGGAGGAACTGCGTACCCTGGAGAACGTCGCTCGCAGCTGGCAGGAGCAGGAAGACTGGAGGATAGCTCGTCTAGTGGATGCGTTGAATCGTACCTCTGGAGAGTCTTCTGATGAGAATGGTAGCATATCGAGCGGTTGTGAAACGGCCAGTACAGCCAATAGCGAGGAGAGGGCGCCAGGAGCTGAGGATGCTCATCCTGTCAGGGAGTCAGAGGTCAGGAGTCCTAGGAGAGTCTTCTTCTCGGACGAGGTACTGCGTCCTGGTGCTACGGGACTTAGGAGGAATTCTGAAGGTTCGCCGAACTTTATGACCTGCACCGGAAGTCCGAAGTTTCTGAGTAGCTCGACAAACCGTAAAAGGTTCTTGATCAGGACCGACGAGGAGGAAGAGGAAGAAGAATTGGAAGAGGAGGAAGAGGAGGTCAGGTCGAATGTCTTCGACTTCGAAGAGGGAGAAGACTTCGGCGTTGACGAGGTCGTTGATTATAGACCGAGGGGTGAGAGTCCTAGAAGATTAGAGAACAGTCAGGAAAGAAGATTAGAAGGCGCCAGGTGTGAAAAATATATTTCGAAGAAGGCCGAGGCAGAGATCCTAGAGGAGGATGAGTTCTTCCGGTTGGATTCCCTTGATGAGGAAGCCGACAGCGACGAGAGCGGCTACGTCGAGGCACCACCCAAGTCCTTACTCAGTCAAGAGGAACCTAAGGATCCTTTGGAGAAGGTTGAGAGTATTGAGACAAAAAGTTTAAGGACGAGAGAGAAAGTGGAGAACATGCTGGGCAATTCGAAGACTCCGGACCGGAAGGCCCTGGACCAGAAAGAGTTACAGGACATACAGGAAGCTTTGTGTGAACTCGATTCTGCTGTTGCCTCCGAAGACAATCGCAGGAGACGCGATAAGGATAAGGATTTCATAATGTGCCCAATTTCGGAAACTATTAGGAAACTTGCTAACGCTTCTCTAAAGAGTTCCAAGTCCTTGGAGATATCCACGAGCACCTGTCTCAAGGCACTGAACAATCTTAAGACATCAAAGTCCTTTGACTCATCCATAACCAAGTCCACCTTAGAAGTTCACGAGGAGTCGCCAAGTCTTCATCAGAGAAAGCAGCTATTAGCCCAACAAGGTGTCACCGTGTAACCCTCTAAAGCGTCTAAAACGGGAAAAGAAGCAAATGGAATTGTATACAAAAGAAATAGATCAATCGATCGATAAATCAATAGGTCAATACGAATGGAGGATGAGACAATATACTATGTAGGTACTAGCATAGGAAAAACTCACCTCTCTAGAATCACGCAGGTGCGTAGATCGTTCAAAACGTGAAAAATAAAGAAAAAAAGAAAAGGTGCCGAACTCTGGGAGTTCACATCGCGTGTTATCCACACTGTAAATATGGCGGCCCTTTGTCAGGCGGATGTCGAATAGAAACACGGGGCCTTTAAGCATAAAATTAATATCAGACAAACACTGTATAGAATCTTCTTGAAGTGAACTTTTAAGACTTCTGTATAGTCTATAAAAATAAAACTGTGGAGCGTGAAAAGAGACTTTATACGCAGTCTATAAAGTTGAGGATACTCTGAAAGCGTCGAGTATATTTGAAACGTCCATTATTAGTCGATACATACAAATCTATATATATATATATATATATATATATTTACACACACACAAGGTTATCCATTTCAAACGTACCAGTCAAATATAACAAGTGCCATCATTTATATGGCACCATCTGGCTGTTACGTTTGAATTTAATCACTCTGTATATAAGTGTAGTATAGTACGGTGCACAAGGTATAGTCTATCCACAAGTAAAATCTGTTTCTAGAGGCCATCTATCTGTGCCTTTTAATGCGAAGGCAGTCCCCTAGACCTCAGAATTTACTTACGGGTCGATTTTATCTGCACGCACGCATGCACAAACTACGGGCAAATTGTGTATTCGCCTTAATTTATAATTCAGCTGAGCGTACCTTGATCCCCCTTTAAGTAACGCCCACGCCACGCTATTAAGCACAGAGCGACTGAAGGTTAGACAGTTGCTGGGCCTTATGCCCAAGAGATTATACATAGAATTGCCATTGAGTAGGGTCCCAAATGGAATCGTACTCGAATCCTCAAAGGTGTAATCGCGATCCTGGCGTCCATTGGCAAGACGCATAGCGAAGGAATCGCAATTCGCAAATTCGCGCTAATAAAATCGTGGTCAACGAATAAAGATGATGAAGTACGTAACGGACAATTTTATTTCAAAGACGTTTCTGTAGCACAATCAAAAATAAAAAAAGCGTACACGCTCGCGCTTTCGAGTAAACGCGAGGATTGTAAAAACAAAATGAAACAAAATATATTGAATACTCTGTAAATTCTATTGTGTTTTTATTAATATATAAGACTGTTAATTGTTTTTTTCTGTGTTCCTATCATTGATCAAAGAATAACAATGATCACCACTTATCTCTCTATGTTTCCTGGGTCGTTATCCTTCCTCAAGGTTTTTCTTTTTAATTCCTTACGTGCAGTGTAGGTGGATCGCTGGATGCACGGGATAACGGGACATCGCGTGCACTTGGGGAAATAGTCGAAGTTTGCGAGTTCAAAGTTCATTCCTAAGATTTAGGTCAATCGATACTACCCTCGACATCACGCAAACAACCCTTGCCCCTTTTCCTTCTCTTTCATGTTTTAAAACACTCTTAGGAGGGACTATTGCTTTCTTTGTGATATTAACCTTTGGTATTATTGTCATTACGTATCCGTGCTGGTACAGTTTATTTTTTTTCCTTTTGATTCGCCAAAACAGACAATTGAACTAATATCAGACATTCTTTGAATTTTCAATTGACAATCCACGATTTATTACTTTTTATTACGCGTTATCACTGACTATCGGCGAATTCCTGTTAATCATTAACGTTTCCCGCAAATTTATGCAATACACTAGACAGATTTATATATCGCGGTTCCGTCTGTGTATTCAGTTAGCAATTGCTACAAAAAACGTGTAAATTCTTTCCGTGAAATTGAAAATAACGACACTTGCCATGCTCCAAATATTTGTATAAGCCGTCAACGGGAATCGCTATGGTGGCGCCATCACTAGTTTCAATTCAAACTACTTTTCCACTACAAGATGGCGCTGGCACCGCCTCTCAAACTCAGCACGAAGCTCCGTGAGTAACTGAATTCAATAGCATACACTAAATCATATGATAATATTACCAAATAGTCTCATAATTTCTAGACTGTTTTTACCGCTTTCATTGCAACCGATACTACATTATCTTTACACTACAATTAAATCTCCCTCCCGGCATAACAGTAATCCTCGTAAGTTTCTCTCAATTAATTAAAATTGCTCAATAAAAAGAAATCCAGGAATCATCCTCGTTAACGAACTAGCTAGTTGATCAGGAAATCCTATAAAACATGACAAATATTAAAATCTATATGCAAAAAGACAGCGACGCGAGAGAGTCTAAGTACCCGGAGTTTGTACCGATGTTGGGTTGGATTACGCGAGAGTGGAGAGCGGTGAATAGGCGGTTATAAAGAACAAGAGAATAGCAATTCTATGTATATATATATATGCAGCGTGTCCGCAGTGTAGTATATCTATATAGCCGTAGGCCGTGCACCGAGTCAAGATCAAGGCATCGCCAGGGAACAAGGATGCCCGACTGGAAGTTGACTCGGTACTCGCAGCATGGCGGAGCGTGGATATGATAATGTTTCCTGCGTGTGTCTTTGTGATCGAGGACAAGGGAGGAATGAAGAGAGAGAAGAGAGTATATGCGTGTCTCTGTTGTGTTAGAGCAGCTCTGTGTGGCCTACTAAGGCTCTCACATACGTAAGGTACGTAAGTACGCAAGTCCCAGCGAAGAGTAGGGCCCAGGGCCGCCAACTCTGACATTCTTCCTCGAGGGCGTACACCAGAGTTCATTGTCATTGTCATTGTCAGTATGAATGACAGCATCACGAAACCAAGTTCATCGATCCAGTTCTAAAAGGTAATGACTTTTAGATTTTCTATATACACTGAATATCAATGACAAAGTATGTTAAATAATCATATAAATCAAAAGTCAAAATGCACTATGACTTTTTGTTTTGGTTTAACGCGGAGACATTTTTAAAGGTATATGAAATAAAGAAGATTCGGAGATCAATGAGAAGATTACAGGGAATTTTTATCATGAGAGTCTACATGGGATTCAGGAAGGAAGAACTGGACCCCCATGAAGACTGCCGGCCCTGTTGATTATTTAAATGTAAAACACAGCTATGGGGGTATACATATACCTTGTCCAGTCCGAGGATCCCATACGTGGTACTGCTACACGGAGAGCCTCGCGTGTTGCATGGTATCTATATAGTTCCAACTATTTAATTCTCTATGGTGATATCCATGGCTACGCAGGACCCCATACTCGGTAGTATAGACCCAGCCCATACGAGTGTATCGTGAGTGTTAACGGCCTTGCTTTATGTGGGTCACGAAACAAGGTCCCACCGCAGTACGTGGATGTCGGTCCCAGTCGGGCCCCTCGTAGGCAGAGCTCGAACTCGGTACCCCAGGCATACATACTGCAAGTACGATCAGCTTGGGACTCACGACTTACAGTCCCATACAGGGAGACACCAGGATACTTATACCATGGATTCTTTTTATTCTTCATAAAACTTACCCGTGAGTCCCATAACAGATTAAATGAACAAAAATGTCAGGTGGGACTTTATTATTTTATATTCGCAATTTTATGCATGAGTATGTCATATATATATATGTGTGGATATAATGCATTTTTTTCAGTGCTTCTACTACTCTTTGAATTTGATTCGACTGCGTCATCGGCCGGAGACACTCCTGGCAAATTTTTGGATAGATTCCCATAAAGTTTTCACCGTGTGCGAGTTATGATGCCAAGAGAAATCGAACTTGATCATTAAGCCGGCCGCGACGGCCATTCGGCCCATTAGCCGCGTTCACGGCTGTCGAGCGGCCGTAAGGAGTTTACGGCTCACTTACGGATTCACATTGCTCGATAGAGACAAAGATAAATGATAAGGACTTTTATTATTGTTCGATCAATCTAAAGCAAACAGTAACTGTTGTATACCTAAACTTTATACAATTGTTGGATGTAATTTTTCTAGTGAAATTGGGCCCGATGGTTACCTTGATCCTTGAAACGATTTCTCACACGGTTTGAAATGTCACTGTAAGACCCACTATTGAATGTCACTAGTCCAACGTATATCTTACTCGTCCAAATCCTGAGTTTAATGTCATCTCTCAAGCGCAATTGATTAATTCTTAATATCTACCGTTACTAATTATTCCTCTATACTTACTATATAAGAATCCTACAATTGGTAACACTGGAGAAATCTATGCTGGAACCTGATAGGAGTTTCATGCACGACATACATCGCTCACAGCTAGATATACCGCTAGTAACTATTCGCTAGGACAGTTTTCCATATGTATAAAATCATTTATAGAGATTCACCTTTACACGCATGACACGTGTTATAGATTAATGAAGTTACCAAAAATATTCTATATTAATATTACTGTCTGTCAATGTAAATGAACGGAATGTCAATTGCAGAGGTTTTTTGTCAAATTTTCTTTTCTAAGATTTGTGCTTTCGGACTCTCTTGAATTATTTACACCGACCAATCTCTTTCTCGTTATCCAATGTTTTATGTATGTTTCCATAGCATCTATCTCGCGTCGCAAATTTTCCTCGACTTTGCGAATCCAGTCGTTCGCAAGAAGATGGAATCTTTTGACACGATCTACTTGCTGGAAGATTGCGTTAAAGACGAGCGATATTCGGAGAGCGATGGGAACTTTACCACGGGAATGAAAAATCTTCTGTATCAGTATATATATATATATATATATATATATATATATATATCTGTTCTTGTTTGTTATAGGTGTATATATATGTATGTACCTTTTGCGTCCCGACGCCCACGCCCGGCGTCCATTCACAAGAAGAACCCTCTTATGCTCTGTGTGAACTGTACCACTCACATCCTTTGCATTGGTTTTAATTATAATCATTCACTTTATTTACAAAATTGCGAAAGTATTTCTGGCTAAAAGACAAAATTGATGAAATTACTGCCTTGTTGCGTATCGTGAGACGGCTGAATTATTGAACTCAAAGTTCTTAATGAATTTGTCAGACTAATTATAAACAGTGATTGATTGATTGAGCCGCATCAAGAAAATCCGTGTAATCACGATTGGATCGTTTAAACAGCGCAGAGCCCGTTCCTGGTACGATTATTAGAAAAAATTATTTTCAAATTTCGTAATTAAAAATATTTTCAATTTCCAGCCAAGAATTTGAAACGCAAAATTTCCCCTAAATTACTAACGGGTTCTCGCGAAAGCACATAGCTCGGTGCACGTGTCACTGATACCAAAAATAAAATTCTTATTATTGAAAATTTCCAAAATTCCGTTATAACGGGCAAGCATCGAATTGCCCAAGTAATCTAAATATACATTCCACTCGATATAACCAACCCCTCGCACGTGAAAAAGAAATAAAAAATCCGATAAGCCTAAAATTCAAAATAGCCAAATCTCTGTATAATTTTCTTGAAAAAGTCCAGAAATGAATAATAAAAAAAAATATTATTCTTTCCAGCAAAACGAAGCCGACGAATAAGGCCCAAAGCAGAGTGCGGACGATCGGTGAGCCAAAAAAGTGTGTCAGAAATTTCAAGCTGGCCTGGTTCCTGCACAATCTTTGACAACCAGAAGCCATGTGTGTACCAGCAGGTAGAGACGTCCAAGTATACCGTGCTCCATGTCGAGGACGTCGACGTAGACCCGGCCAGGAGTCTCGTATAAACGGCAAGCAGCACTAACAGTAAGCAGGCGTAGGATAGACCCACTCTTGCAGGATCCTGAAGCGAAGCGGTTGCTAAGTGTGCCGTTGTAAGTGGAACATCGCTGCCTGGTACCAACGAAGTATACCAACTTCCTCCATGGCTTCTCTTTACTCTCCTAACCATCTCTCTCTCTCACTCAGTCACTCTCCTACTCTCCGCCACGGCACTGGCCTACACGGTGAAAGACTTTCTTTAAGAAGCTACAGTGCGAACGCTGCTAGTCGCCACGGCTATGAGCTTCCTTAATGGCGGCCTTTATCGACTCCATTTTCTATTATTACAGGCAGCCGTATTAACACTTGCTGGATCCTTGGAAAGGACACGTGGATTTAGAAGAAAAATTCAAATAACGAAGGATACCGATGTACAAGGACGTCGGAAGAATTGATCGAAGAGATTCCAAAGCCTTCCGAGTCACACGTGTTCCTGGAGATTTCATGTATGAATTGTGTACCAGAAAAATGGAGAATTCACACAAGACTCTTGGACGGCATACGTGGCTTTTTCGTGACTTGTACTTTTATTGCTCGTTACGTAAGGATTTATCGATTCTAACGATATTCAACGTGCTGACTTCCAATCCACTGGGACCGACTGGCCCAGAGATTTAGGTCACCACGCGATGCTGCTGCTCCGACGCTCCTTTGGATCTCCAGTGTCTTGCCAACGCGAGATCAGATACGTTTTAATGTAAAGAAGAGTTTCGAGGATTTTTTTTCTCTCTTTTTTTTACTATCTTTTTTTGCACACGCTATTCTCTGATAAACGTATTCCTTTCACTTACAGAATAAAGAAGCGGGGTCGAGGAAATGAGGAGAGAACGAAAATATAAGAATGACGTATTTATTGCATATCCTCGGCACAACGTAGGTTGGCAGGATTGTCGAGAGAGAGAGAGAGAAAGAAGAAGAAGAAAAAAAAACTTAACAGGCATTACAAATAAAGTGATAGTACATTAGGTAAAACAGTGAAAAAAATATCAACAACAGGTCTAATATCCTTAAACGGCTAGGGTCCCTAGACATTACGATAGGTACGCTATAGTAATTATTATATAGGGTAGATACACAATACTGCCGAAAGATTTAGTGTTTTTATTTTTTTAAATCTTTTTTAAGGGAAACAAGCATTGTGGAGCTGGTTGCCTCGAGTTATCCGTAACTGTATCATTATTATTGTTACTCATCATTTCTCTTGGATCGTACGCGAAACGCGCTTATTGGCGAATCGGATGCGGAAATGGAAATCGAAGAGGAAGGAATGTTCGAATAATGAAGAAAATAAAGATCGTGAGGTGGTAGGGGACTGGGTATTTCGCGAACTGGAGAATGTGGACGCGCATCGTTTACACCTTATCATAGGGATTCTCCTTATCAATTAAATATTAAATAATTGTCATTAACAAATCTATAAACAGTTTTTGCGTAGCCAGCTACGCTAGGTACCGAGTGACAGTCGCTATGCTGCGCTGAACACAACAACTCCGTGGTTCATCGAAATCCCATTTTCATTATTTTTTCTTTTTTTTTTTTTTTTTTTTACTATATATATAAATGTACATTCTGACAACCGTAGAAATTTTTCCTTCGAAGCGACTTTAAACGCGTGGGATTTCAGGAATGTGGATTTAGTGGACGGACAAATGTAAAGGGTATAAGCGGAGGGGGTATGGGGAGTTGGGAGGGGATTTTTCGAATTTTTAAAATTATTTTCAAAATAAATAAGAATAGGATATTGAAGAATTTTGGCTAAGTTAGCCAATCTTCACAGCGATTCTCACGAGAAATGCGGTTAATTTTGGAATTGAGATCTGCGGGTCGTCGTTTCCCGTGGAAACAACAATGCGAGGATTTTCACGAAAAATACTTATTTTCCAAATCAATTTTCTCACTCGTGTATCTTTTCTCTTCTTTTTGAAAATCCTACGAAGAACCGCCGGGCAATAGAAAATACTTTCTATCATCTCCATTATAACCTCTTCGTATAAGCGTTACGGAAAGGGGAGGAAGTGGATTCGAGATAAGAAAAATTCAGACAAAGTGATACAGTATCTACAAATCAAGAAGAGACCAAAAAAATACCTAGACAGTACAGTGATTAAGGCTAGGGGTGAAAATAAATAACTAGAACATACAGTAAGACAATAGACAGTGAGTAGCGGTAGTGAGAACAAAAGAGGTAGAGAAGTGTGAGTGAGTAAAGTGTAGAGATAAAATAAATATATTAAAATACGATAATAGAGATAAAAAATAATATCGGTGTCCTGTAGCGAAGGGATGGGTAAGGAAAAGGGGGAAAAAAAAACGAAAAAAATAAATCCGACGTTAAAAAATAAAACAAGAAAGGAAAGAGAGAAGGGGACGGGTATACGTATAAAAATTAAAATTTCTTTACAATAACAAATGTTTAATCGATCGTTAATTTATAAATATCCACAAAAAAGAGAAAAAAAGAGCTAGCTTTATACATAATCAGAAGACGCATCAATCACCGATCACGCGCACCATAGATGAAAGCGGAAGTAGTGTAGACACAGAAGAGCGAGTAGACTTTACAGAAAAAATTTTCAAAAAAATATATATATATTGACAGAAAAACAAGATCCATATGTCTTATTAAAAACCCGTATGGTTGGTCCTATAGGATGACGACTTTTTTTTTTTCATTTTCATTCTAAGCATAGATAACGTAATATCTATGCTGCGAAGGAATAAAGAATCAGTGAGAAGATTACAAAGACTATTATACAATGAAATAAGAGGATAACAATAAGAATAATAATATTAATAATAATAAAAATTTACAGAAATAAATAAGGAGCATGGAGTAGAGAAAGAGAGAGGTGCGGGGGGGTGGGGGGGGGAGTGAAAAGAAAAGAAAAAAGAGAAATAGTTAACTAAAGCGAAGGAATCAGGAGAAAGAGAGGAAATCGAGACACTAGGCCATGTAAATTCCGAATATGGATACGTGGAAGAATATATAATATAAAAGCATTATAAATAAAACAGAACAACTGATAAGAACTTAACTTAAAGAACCGTAGGTACATCGTTCGATGCGCGACTTTAGTCCTAACCTATAAAGACGCGCACTTCTAGTATACTCTCGTGTATCACCAATATACGCAGCATACGAAATCGGCTGACCAAAAGCAAAAGGTCGTACGCCCGTTGAAAAATCCTATTTTTGTACGTCCTTTTGCTTTGAGTTACCCAAAATATCTTAAAACACTTTTATTGCGAATTATTTCTGTATCTCTAATCAATGCTCGATGTTTCTCGTTCGCTTTTGTACGCAGGCGAGTATGTACATAAGAGATAGACAGAGACAGACAGATAGACAAACGTACACTGGTAGGTGGACGGGGGGCTGGGTGGAAGAGGGGGTAATCGACAGTCGCAAGTTTCTCGCTTTCAACAAACTCCCGTGAGAACGAAAGAGAGAAATGTCTATGTATGCGCGTAAGAAATCAACGATCAAGACCCAGGACGAACGTCGTACGTTTCGTACCCGTTAACGAGGCTAAAAGTGACGTCATCGTCATCCGTATTATCGTCATATTCGTCATCGTCCTACCCATCGGACTCGAGTGAACTTCAGGCTTCATGCCTAGACCCACGTCGAACGGTTAAAGTCAAGTAACGAAAGAGCAGACCGTGGCGCGACGATCGGCCGAACTTAAGTACGATTGCGCATGCGCAGAAACTGCGTTCCCGATACGAATCACAATCCGTCGTTATTTTGGTCTACTTTATACAGAAAGGACGCAATTAAAGAAAAACACCCTGGCGAATAATACTGTGGGCCCTCACGTGTCTGCGAGAGGGTTGGGGGGGCGGGCGGGTAGGGCGCAGAGACCCCGTGTGCTCTTTCTTCTTGTCGTCTTTCGTTTACTTAAATCCGTTTTTCCCTTTTTCTTATACCATCTAAGGGCCGTTCACCCGCCGCAACGACCTCTTCAATCCGGAAACCGTAACTACCGATGGTTAAAGACACTGACCGCTTCCGGTCTCCAATTTGAACACTCGTTAATCGCGACCAATTCTCTTGTGAATCTGTTGATGCTTAATGAGATGCGCCTTCTGCCGGAAGGCCTTGCCGCATACCTCGCAGCGAAATGGCTTCTCGCCCGTGTGAGTCCTTAGATGCACCTTTATGTTACTCTTGTTGAGGAAGCCGCGATTGCAGATTCCACACCTGTGAACGGGTTTCTCTTTGCCGCCAATCAGACTGGACTCCGTGCCGTACGGTAGGCCCGTCGTGGCGCCAGGACTCTTCTTCGAGGGATTCTGGGAACCTGGTGCGGGACGCGGCCGCTTTCTAGGATGAGAGGGCGCGGCGAACGAGGAATGGAGCATGTGATCCGGACTGCACGAGGTGGAGACTCTACCTGGAGGACTCACCGGTGGGTAAGGACTCGTCGAGGATGGCGTCTCGCCGCATGACGTATTTTGCATGGTGTTACCAGCCTGTAATCTGGCCTGGAGTAAAGGCGCGTATCCATGCGTCAATAAATTCTGGAGTGTGGATCCGTGTTGCTGTCCTCCGGGTCCACCTGACTGATTCGTCGTGGCGTATATCTGGGAGTAGGGACTCGGCGACGTCGTCTCCTGGGTCTTCGGTGAGCATGCAGTGTCTATCCACTCCGCTATGTCTATCCAGTCTCGGGAGGCGTCGGGGTCGTTTTCAGATCCTGGACCATTCCCACCACCAGGTACTGTAGTGTCTGCTATCGCTGACCCGATGATCTCGGCGATGTCCTCTATGTCGTACTCAACCTGCTGCGTCGACTGTGGTAACTGCTGCTGTTGTTGCTGTTGTTGCTGCTGTTGCTGCTGTTGCTGTTGCTGCTTCTGACTACCCTGAGGACAGGGTGTACTCGAGGATACCACAGGAGGCTCGTAGTACTCTTGATTGGAAGACGGGGTGGGCGATGACGACTGCAAGGACGGTCTCTGGGCCGATGATGCTATCGTGTGGTAATGATGTCCAGGTATACCGTTGATACTCAGGTGTCCAGTGTAATTGGTGAACGGAGGAAGTGGCTTCAACTCTGCCAAAGACTGCGTGGATGCTACGCCAGATCCCAAGAGGATCGTGTCCCAGGCATCCTGGATACCAGCTGCCGTTTGCTTGACATCCGGTGGCTCCAAGAAGTCTGGTCCACTCGCGCCCCAGGGCGACAAGAGAAGACTGTCCACACCGACGACTTCCGCTGGAGAACCCCCTACCATCCCGCTGCCTTGACTACTGTGAGGTGGCTCAACCCCTGATGAACTGAGATGAGGCGGTGCAGTGGGTGGTCCCGATTGCCTCTCGTACTTCATGTCGATCGCGATGTCTGATCCTGGCGATACCACGTCACAGGAGTCCTTGGAGCGACAGCCTTGCCTGGACAAGTTCCTGGTGGTCCGTGAGGTCGATATAATGTCGTACGGAGACGTCGCGGCGAGGTCGTCCTCGGCTTCCAGAACGTCGCAGGATGAATACTCGACCTTGATGTTGGTAACGGTATCGCGTTCGTTCTGTCCAGTCAGGTTGGCAGGACTGCCGGAGGACTCGTCGTTGCGCGAGCCGGAGATCCGCGAGGTCGACAATAAGGAACTCAATAAGGAAGCGTTGAAGTTGCTGGATTCGTTTCTGTCCCCGGAGGTGTCTTCCGGTTTTATTCTGACGTTCAGCGACGACAGAATACTGTTCAGCGAGTCAGCCGAGGTGGCAGCACCGCCGACCCGTGGATGATGAACCACCGACGACACGGTGGACGAGGTCGAGGACGACGGTACCGAGGAGGAAAACGCTCCGGGTGAGTTCGACGTCGAGGCCAGCAACGACGAGAGCACGTTGCTCTGTCCCGAGGACGGGACTCCCCGGGCGATCTGTACGTTCTCCGTCACTGTCGAGACGCTTCCCGACGTCGCCGTCGCGGTCGAGGCAGCAAGTAACGCCGACAGCACGTTCCCAGACGAAGTCCCCGATATCGAACCGTATCCAGAGGATGCTACGACATCGGCGCCCCGGGCGATCGAGTCCACGAGACCGAGGCTCGCCGATGTAGAGGTCGAGGTAGCCGCGATTCCGTAAGGATTTCTCTGATGATGGCAGGACGGCGTCGACGACAGCCCGACGTACGTGGTAGGAGTCGGCGGCGTCGATGACGAGCTCGATCCTCGCCCGGGGCTGCAGTACTGAAGATTGTTAACCGGTGGCCCCTCTTCGGACCTCTGGGGACCAGGGACCGGGACCGTCGGGAATAGGGGACCAGGATTCCACCAGGGATCCACTCTACTGCCGGGGGTGCTGCAACCGCCAACGGCGCCGCGAGGACCTGGAACATCAGACAGGAAAATTCTTGCTACAGACGATACACGATCTCCTCGATACACAATTCATTCGATAATTATCCCACCTTTCGATACACCCAAGATAACGATCATCTTGGTACCCACCAACAACATTCGGCATTTTCAACATGTGCGTATACAGAACCCCCCGTTATCATGCTACCCCCATAACACCCGGTATCATCGAAAATTCTACCAGGTAATAGCAGAGCTAAATAAAAGGACGAAGAAAAAGATCATTTTTAATTTCAAAAAATTCGAACAGTCAATCCAACCATGTCGAGTCCGTACCATACCGTCGAGTACACCGTGTGGATGGCATACGGTAGGTAGGTAGGTAGGTTGGCAGACTGGTAGGTAAAGGTAGGTAGGTAGGTTGGTAGGTAGGTGGATACCACTTCTCTCTGCGGGAGAAGAAAGACTTGCTCCTGCTGCTAACTAGGTTAGTAGCACACTAGCCAGCTACGGCCGAGTACACTCGAGCGACCAAATTGCCTCTCTTAAAAATATATTTCGTGGTGTGAACCTGGGTACAAGTGAAAAAAAAGACAATGTAAAAGAATAACAAAAAAAATCATCACGCACAATGACAATATCTCTGAAAAAGTCACATCGCTCAAAGTAACCGATCAAGCTCCATTGGCGCCTCAACTTTTGACTTCGACTTGAAATCCCCTATGGCGCCGTATTCTTCCCCGATACGTATTTCCCTATCCCTAGAACGGTACCAATTGGATAACAAAGAAGTCCCAAATCATATTTGACAAAACCCCGCAGTCCCGTTAATCATGTACCAATTCGCAAAATTGGGTCCCCGTGACCAGCTGCAGGCCTGCATACATCCGCTTGTCACGTCACGACGAAGATCATGCAAATCAGCAGCGTCATCTCTCGCGGATCCATTCTGAAGATCCGTGAAGGATTCGGGTGGGATATCGGCAGCTTGTCGGAAGGAAGGATGGACCAGCGATATTAAGAGGGAAAGAGAAAGAGGGATAAAGGAGGAGAAGAAAAAGAATAAAGAGAATCCAAGACAAATAGTGGGGAACTCGCGTAGTCTTGGTCGGGGGGGGG